GCAATTTCCCGTTGTGGAGCTAAGGGAATGCTAAATCATCAGAACTGATTGGAGTGTGCCGAATTTTTTAAAATGGTATGATTCAAAAAATATACTAATGTTATATATTATGTTAATTATGTATTAATGTCTTTCTTTTACTGTAAAACTATTTTCAAACAATAATTTTAATCTTTGAGTTTAGTTCCAAGATGTGTAATTTCTTTCAGGTGAACGATTGGTTTGATGTCTTAAACGTGAAATGTTATGCAACTGATACCAGGGAGAGAACAAAAGCTTATGGGTTAGCATTAAGCACCCAAGATAACATTATTAATTTGATGACAACAAATATTTTAAACTTAAGGGTCAAAGGCAAAACAACATTACTTCCTTTTCAAAAAGGTATGTAAGGATAATTTATAGTTATTTATATTTTCTTTTAATTTTTCAATTTATTTTAGGAATCATTATGACTAATACATCACTCCAGCTTCTATTTACTGATCTAAAGCACAGATTTGGCACAAAATATCTGCTTACATACCGATTAAATCAAGACATTATTGAAATTTTTTTTGGTGTAATTAGGGCAAAAGGAGGTCTTCATGATCAACCTAAAAGACCGAAAAACAAAATATTTAAGAATTTAACAGGTAGCATAAGTTAGAGCACGTGGAGTTAATTTTAGTTGGACTGTGTTCTGAGAAAGTTTGTTTATATTTAATATTATTTTTTTTTTACCTGAAAAGTTTAAACTTTTTAACTTAAAATGACCGAACAAAAAGCCAAATGTATTCGTTCAAAGAATTGGGATGAAGAAGAAAGTGTAAGTAATTTGCTTAGAAGTTTATATTAGAAATTTTGCTATTTTTATTTGTTTTTTTTTGTAATATTCCAGCAATTGTTTCGCAGTGTTTTGAGAGACTATTCCCACATCATAGAAGAGAAATCTTTATATATATATATATATATATATATATATATATATATATATATTATATATATATATATATATATATATATATATATATATATATATTGTAAAAACTACGACCGTCAATTTATATTAATAAAGTATTCAACTAGTGAATTCAGAGGTTTATTCGGTCATTCAGGTTGGCAAAATAAAACAGAAGTCAACTACTTCCTAAGTTTATAGAAGACGTTTCGCTTTATACTTCTAAAGCTTCATCAGTTCTCTAAAATACAAAGATGACATAGAGTTTATAAGAAATACAGATCTAATAATAATTACTTAAGTTTACTAATAAATTTAACTTAAGAAAAAAAAAATTAACAGAAACAAAGAACACAAAAACTTTGCAAAAAATAATATTCGCAGAAACGAAGATTTGCAGAAATTTTTAAAACGTACATTTGGCTTCATTTAGAGATGGTTCTCCAATGAAGACAAACAAAACACTGATTTATTGCAATCTATGCATAACGACGTGACGCGATACCGAAAATTTTTAAGGGCCATATGTTCCACAAATTCCAAGGTTTGAGACAATTATGAACTTCTACAGGGGTCATTGAAAGATTAGTTGGACTAAAAGATTTGTATGACGGAAAAATTTGATATGATTTTGTTTGTAATTTATGTTTTAATGAAACTTAGAGGTCTGGGATGATTCTGTTATTATTTTGAACGGAAAATAAGGCTATTTTAAATGATGAATATTGGTATTATTTATTTCGTAAGATGAGAGAGTGGTAAACCTGGCTCAAATTGTCGATGTCGGTTCTTTTGTTTATTGTAGATTGGTTTTTTAGGATCTCACACATTTCAATAATGGAGCGTTTTTGATGGTTGTTTTGTTTCGCCAGTATTTTAGTATTTTTTCGTGACCATCAAACGAAAATATAGCTTAAATTGTACCGTACTACTCAAGAGATGGAGCAAACTTAATGAAAAACTGGCGAGGACTGAAGCAAAAAAGACTTTCCTGATTCAATGCAGAAAGACGAAGAGATATCCAAGGTTCTTAAACGATCGCACCGACCACCTGATGCAGTCCACCATGGGAACACTATCCAACAAATTAAAAAGAGGAGCGGATGCCATCAACACACAGGTAAGAGCACGATTAGTGAACTTCCACATTTCTTCGGTACATTCCGATATAGCATATGTCAAACATATTTATCCAACTTGAACCTCTCCTACCTTCCAACATGTTGGATCAATATGCAACTTCTCTTCTCAAAAAATATACCTTCTTTCTAAACAATTATTTATCTCACCTCCAAACAAAATTAAATAATCTAGGGTTTACTCCTTTCAGTCGTCTACCATTTCACGATAAATGGATTAAAAATCTCACAAACTTCCAACTCCCTAGAAATGTCTTAAAACTTCTATCTCTCGGACCTAAGTTCGGACTACAACCCTCGCTTAAAGATTATTCCGTATACTGACATAGAAAACATATTTTCACGTTCGTAAGCCAATGAACTCCTCGAATTAAGATCATCTGCTTATAATATTCTCACCAACTTTTCACATAAACCTCCCTATGCCAGCTCAGATATAGATGATATCTATAAGCAAACGTCTACATTCCTTAAAGAACATCCTGACCTGATGGTATTAACCAGTGACAAAGGCAATGCAACAGTACTAATGATGAAAGAGCAGTACTTAAACCTGAGCCAACAACTTCTAGATGATAATAAATATTATCAGCCACTTCCCCGCAATCCCACATCAACTTACACAAATAAAATAAATAAATTTATCACTGAACTAAAAACCAAAAAAATCATCGATGATAAATTAGCCAAATCCCTCCATAACTATAATGGCAATGCCCCCAGGTTCTATTGTCTTCTTAAAATCCATAAGCCTCAACTGAATATGCGTCCTATATAATCGTCAATAAACGCTCCGAACACTAATTTAGCCCAATTCTTAACGGACATTCTGTCACAAGCATACAACTACAAGAACGATTTCAATATAGTAGACTCTTTCCAGTTCAGTGAATTGATCAATAATTATCAGTTACCAAGAGAATATGTCTTAGTAAGCTTCGACGTAGTATCCCTGTTTTCTAATCTCCTACTCTCTAGCGTCGTCACGTCACTCCGGAACCATTGGAATGAAATCTAACCACACAGTCCAGTATCGTGGGAAACATTCTCGGAATTATTAAAACTGACGTTTGACACTAATTTTCTAATTTTTAATGACAATTACTATCGTCAAATTTTTGGAACTCCCATGGGATCGTCCATCTCCCCCATTCTAGTTAATTTCGTACTCGACGACCTTATCAATGAGAGTATCAGTAAGTTAGATTTCCAGGTTCCCTTTGTAAAGCGTTATGTCGACGACTTGATCTTAGCAACACCATCTGATAAGATTTTAAGCACATTATCAGTCTTTAATAGCGTGGATCCTCACCTTCACCACATGTGAATTGGAGGTTGATAACAGCATACCGTTTTTGGACCGGTTCTTAAATTACCACTCTACACACCCAATGAGATACAAACATAACCTGGTACAAGCTCTTAGCTTTAGAGTACACACGTTGACCAATACGCGTTACAAGAGGGAATCTTTGGATTTACTCAAATACATCCTCATTGATAACTATTACCCCATATCCATCATCAACAGATATCTTTTCTCTAAAAGCTATGGTCATTTTACTTCGGAAGCACCTAACGGTGCAATACTAACCTCCATATCCAATAGCTTACAGACTGACAATTCCCAGTTAACCCAAAACCAGCCACAAAATATGCTTCTCTTCCATATTTCCCACAAATTACGAACAAGCTTACTAAACTATTCAAAAACTTACCCGTAAAAAATATCCCTAAAAAAGACTAAAACCATTGGAAAGTTATTCTCCAAGTCCAAAACTCCACTAAGCTCGTTAGAGCACACTAATGTTGTCTATCAGATCCCCTGTTCTGAATGCAATTCCTGCTACATTGCCCAGACCAGTCGTTCACTTCTAGGGCGTATAACTTCACATAAAAGCGACATTAGACTCTCCAAACCCTCTTGTGCCCTTGCACAACACGCCATTTCCACCAAACATCACATTGATTTCTCAAATACTAAAATACTGGCGAAACAAAACAACCATCAAAAACGCTCCATAATTGAAATGTGTGAGATCCTAAAAAACCCATCTACAATAAACAAAAGAACCGACATCGACAATTTGAGCCAGGTTTACCACTCTCTCACCTTACGAAATAAATAATACCAATATTCATCATTTAAAATAGCCTTATTTTCCGTTCAAAATAATAACAGTATCATCCCAGACCTCTAAGTTTCATTAAAACATAAATTACAAAAAAAAATCATATCAAATTTTTCCGTCATACAAATGATTTAGTCCAACTAATCTTTCAATGATCCCTGTAGAAGTTCATAATTGTCTCAAACCTTGGAATTTGTGGAACATATGGCCCTTAAACATTTTCGGTATCGCGTCACGTCGTTATGCATAGATTGCAATAAATCAGTGTTTTGTTTGTCTTCATTGGAGAACCATCTCTAAATGAAGCCAAATGCACGTTTTAAAAATTTTTGTAAATCTTCGTTTCTGCGAATATTATTTTTTGCAAAGTTTTTGTGTTCTTTGTTTCTGTTAAATTTTTTTTTAAGTTAGTTCTAAATTTATGAGTAAACTTAAGTACATATACAATAACATCTTTAATACTACATATTGAGTTGTAAGTAATAAATTATTAGAACTGTATTTCTTATAAACTCTATGTCATCTTTGTATTTTAGAGAACGGATGAAGCTTTAGAAGTATAAAGCGAAACGTCTTCTATAACCTTATGAAGTAGTTGACTTCTGTTTTATTTTGCCAATCTGAATGACCGAATAAACCTCTGAATTCACTAGTTGAATACTTTAATATATATATATATATATATATATATATATATATATATATATATATATATATATATATATCAATGAATTAAATAGCATACCTAGGGATTTAAGACAATTGCAGACCCAATGGAAACATATGAAAATGAATGCCCGCAAGGTGTACAGCGATTATACTCGAGAACAGAAAAAGACAGGAGGTGGACAGGGACCCACAATTCCAGCTGAGATAGTGATGGAGAATAAAGACATCATGAATCCTGCAGAATTGTTGAGAGATCATAATGTATATGATTCTGATGGCCCTGTGAGTTTTCATATAATAGGTATTATTATATGCATTACATTAAATTTTGTTTTTCACAGATAATACAATTATCAACATATGAAATGGAACCAAGTACTAGTGAAGAAGTGGACACCCAATTAAAAGGTCAATTCGCGATAGCCAATTCCGACAGAGGGCGCTCAAGATTTCAAAGATGGACGATCACTTTGGGAAAACAAATCGTTTGTTCATTTGATCTCAAAGGAATAAAACGTTAAATATAAATCATTTACACGTATGTTTTGCAAAATTAAAAGTTGGATTACGTTCTTCGAAGTTTATTTGTTTGTGATTCGAGTTTATACATAAGGTAATTGACTCCAAAACCTGAATAAAAATAAAATTAAATGTTTGTTTTTTTTACAGTATGTCTGAAACACGGGAAATAAAAGTTACTTTATCCCAATTATTTATGTGGTTGCAAGGTCGGCAGAGATCATTAGTTGAGGGTGAGGCAGTTTTTGGAGCTGGCCACGTGATATTTTGCAAATTAAAAAAGCAAGATGCCCTTGAAGTAGTTGTGTGCAAACATCAAGCATGAACAGTTTACCCCATGAAATTATAATAAAAATTCCGTGTGAGGTAAGATATTACAACACGGAGCTGTAAATGTTCATGCAAGGCTGGTGAATCGGGATGCTGTAAACATGTGGTGGCAACTTTAATTTACATAAATCGGTAAATATTGTATATTATTGATAACAGGTATTGTATTATTGATTGTATATTAATAATATTATTTGTTGAAACAGGAACAGCAAATTAGAGTTCTGCAGCTCAACTGAAATGGAGCAAGCTTGGGGAGTTACTAAACCCCTTATAAAAGAAATGTATCAAAGGGAGAGGCTAGTTGACTTTGTCCCAAAGAAAAAGTATTGTCCAAATATCTCCAATCTTGATACCAGCAGAAAAAACTTCAAGATTTTGAGTGAATGTAAGTTTTAAAAATGTCTATTTTAAACTTGATGTCTAATTTATACTTTTTTATTATTAGATGACAAATTTAATTCCCCATTATACCAAATTAAAAATGGGAGAATGAAGGACACATTTTTCCGATATGAATTAATAAAAAACAATTTAATGTGTAGTCAAATAATAATTAGAGGTAATGAAGATGAATGCACCAGTACCTTTTATTTAAATAAGTTAATAAATAAGTAATAAATATTGAACAGGCTGAAGAACTGTACTTTGCCACTCTAAGCCAAAGTGGTAGCAAATGGGCAGAAGCAAGAAGATGCAGAATAACTGGATCAATTTGCTACCAAATATATACATATACATTTAACAGTAATTCCAACTGGGAGCAAAAAATAAAATCAGTATTTTATTCCACATTTAGGGGAAACGCAAGTACAAGGTATGGAACGGAGCACGAAGTATATGCCTTAAAGTTGTACAACGAAATCCAAAACTGTGCAGCAAAAAAGGAAGGCTTTATTGTTAACCCTCAATTACCATGGGTCGGGTTTAGTCCTGATGCCTTATTAGACAAAGATAACAAACTAATAAGGTTGATTGAAATCAAGTGCCCTATGTTGGGTAAATCAAAAACTATCTTAAGCATTTTAAGGCAATTAACTTATATAAAAGTTGTCAATGGGCAATTAGAATTAAATAAAAAACATCAGTATTATGCACAGGTACAATTAGGAATGGGCATTTTAGGAATATCAGATTGTGATTTATTTATATATTGTAAATATTTACACATTTTTCTAATTACAGTGTCTTGAAAAAGGAATTAAACAATTCCGAAAGCTAGACCAAAAGTCAGAAGAGTGTTTCTGTAACATCCCGGCCAGACTTCTGACTGCAGCCCCAATAAACTTTGTTGTTTGTTTAAATTGACAGTCACTAAAGTAAATTCATTTAGCAAATTCCCATCTGTAAACTTACCCACGTGTTGATATTCGCCTTCTCATTCGTCAAGAGGCTATTAAATATAATTTATTGCCTTAAGCCAGACGGCTTCTCATGTTACAGATCCTAACTTGCCGGTGTGTCTAAATTCAAATTGTAGCGTGTTGCTTTTTGGGTTAATATATTGTGTGTTATATGTTATAGTTATTGTTAAGTTATTTACTGGTCGTGTTATTTTTTTGAGTTTAGTTTAAGTGTTAAGTATTAAGTTTTATAGTGTGTAGTGAACTTTTAGTATCCAAAAACAAAGTATTTGTTAATTAAAAGTAAAAATAGCTAGCGGCAATCACTTTAATAAAGGTAAGAGAAACCAATATTTTAATTTATTTTTATTTCCTTTTTAGTCTATTTATTCACGGTTTTTGCCGATGTGTGCTTTTGTCATGGGTTGTTTGTCAAAAAACATGCGTTAAAATAAGTCTAGAATAAAATAAACTGACTAATTCTAAGCAACTCTTATTTTATACACTTTTTGCACAAAGTCAATACTTATCGAGTTATTTGCGAGTGAATATGATCATTGTTCAATAAAAAAACACGTTTTTAGATGGTTTTCCGCAAATAGCTCAAAAAGTAAGTATTTTATCGAAAAACCAGATTCTTAGCAAAAATATAGCTTATAAAAAAATTTTAATAAATGATATACTTATACCTATATGAAGTCTGTAGACTCAGTAAAAGCAGAGTTGTAGCTAATGAAAAGTAATTCAAATCGAACATTTCAACGAGAAATATCAAAAAAATGAAGCATTTTTCGGGGAAAACTCGCTGTCGGGGAAAGTAAAGTGCTTGTTTTTTTATTCTTTCACGTTCAAATATTCGATTTGGTATTTGACGAATAGGAACCTTTATACGTACACCATTTTTTTTTGCTATTTTATAAGCTATATTTTTCCTATGAATATTTTTTCGATAAAATACTTACTTTTTGCAAAAACCGTCTAAAAACCTTGTTTTTTTGTTGTTGAAAAATGAACATTCACTCGCAAATAACTAGAAAAGTATTGACTCAGTAAAAAACTCTATAGAACAAAGGTTGCTTAGAATTAGTCAGTTTATCCAATTCTTGATTTATTTTGAAAGTATCTTTTTTCACCCCTGAGAATGGGTGAAACTCACCCCTAGGGCGAAAACACACATCGGCACAATATTACTTTTTTTATTTAACATGTTAGCTATGTGTATACCAAACGTCATTTCAATCCAAGCTGTTCTTTGGGGAGGTTTTATCGTGAGTGAATGGAATATTTCTGGACTTGAAAAAGTATACATAATGCAGTTTCATAACTTTACCGATAATTTCGGTGATGCTGGTTTTAGTACAATACATCTTATTTTTCCCTAGGCTAGTTTAACATTCTCTCAACCAATTAAGTACATTAAGTTATTGAAGATAAATAGAATAACAAAAATGTCAAGCACTGATACAGCCGATGAACTCGTTGGTTACGAGTAAAACAGGTACTGATATTGTTTCGCCATTATCTATTAACCTTCATTTAACAAATATTGTTACTTTTTATCTATTGTAGGCGTGTGTAGCCGTAGTGTACGCAATGTGGTTCACGAATATGAAATTACGGGAACATTGTCGACACCAAAATCAGTGGAGCATCGTAGAAGTATTGTTAACTCGCTGGATGAATTTGACCGAGAAGCAATAAGAAGAATCATCCATCAATTCTTTTTTCGAAATGAAATACCCACAATAGATAAAGTTCTGAGGGTTGTTAATGAAGATCCGGTTTTGCCTAACTTCAAAAGAACTACATTTTTTAAATTATTGAAAACAATAAATTTTAAGTTTCAACGTCGTCAACGAAACAGCATTTTTGATGGACAGGGACGAAATTGTCTTGTGGAGACGAGAATTTCTGATAAAAATTAAGTCCTACAGAAATGAAAACCGAAAAATTTATTACTTAGACGAGACTTGGCTAAACGCTGGTCATACCAAATCTAAAGTATGGGTCGACAATTCGGTAACATCTTATAAACAAGCGTTTTTAGATGGACTTTCTACGGGGTTAAAAAATCCAGCAGGTAAGTGTTTATGTGCTTTTTCACTTCAAGTAATTTTTAAAATAATAAAATTTTCAGGAAAAGGAAAAAGACTAATAATCTGTCACATTGGCAGTGAAGATGGGTTTGTTCCAGAAGGGCTATGGGTGTTTTAATAAAAAAAAAGTGGGGACTACCATGAAGAGATGGACGGGAAATCTTTTGAAAATTGGTTCAAAAATATACTGCCCCGATTAGAAGACAACTCCATTATCGTATTGGACAACGCATCTTATCACTCAAGAAAATTAGAAAAAATTCCAACTACTGCATCTAGAAAAGCTGACATCAAAGCGTGGCTGAAATAAAAAAATATAGGGTCTGAGGACTCCATGTTAAAAGTGCAACTGCTGGCTATTGTTAAGGAACATAAGGGACAGTATAATAAATATATCATCGACGAGATGGCAAAAAGCCAAAACAAAGTTGTGTTAAGGCTGCCCCCATACCATTGTGAGCTCAATCCAATTGAGCTCATCTGGGCAGAAGTAAAAAATTATGTAGCAGCCAAAAACACTACTTTTAAATTTGCAGACATGAAAAATCTTTTTTATGATGCAATAAATAATATTAGTCCAACTACGTGGCAGAAATGTGTGCAACACGTTCAACAGAAAGTCGAGTCCAAAATGTGGAAGTTGGATAATATAATAGAAAACCATATCGAACCTATAATAATAAATCCAGACGAGGACAGCAGCACATGTAGCTCCTCAGACTCTGAGTAATTTAAATGGTATGTTGGGCAATGATTAGTTTAGAGCACACAACATAACCAAATATATTTTACTCAAGGCACCATATCACAGTGTTGCCATTTTTTTTGTAAAATATGTATATTAATGTTTATATTTTAAAGTTACTTTTACGAAATTGTAATTGGTGTTATGAGAAGCTACTGGAAGACGTTTTGAATGAGTATAAAAGAGCATTCATAAATATTTTCTTACTTACTTATGTTACTAAAAATGCAGTTAAATATTGTAACTTATTTGACAGCACTTTCCATATCTTGTCTATTAGGACCTTCTTATTATTAGGTACGAATGGTCAACCCGCTACAATGACCTCTTACACTAATTGAGGTTACACTCAATTAGTGTAAGAGGCAAAGTAAGTCTTACTCTGTAATAAGAGAAAACAAACTACATCTAACATAATACAAGTATTTAATAATGTATTCTCAAACTAAAAAAACAAATGTCAATTGAGAAAAGCTTAGGTATAAGGAAGAAATAAAACTTAAAAGAATTATGTTAGTCAGATTTGTATGAACCTTGTTCATTTTAAAACTTATTTTTGTTTAAGATTGGGTTTAATATATTTATAATTGCACAAATTACTTTTAATATATCATCACAATATGGCAAAAGGTAAGCACCAATTTGTTCCTTCATAATTTTAAAGACTTTTATTCTTTGAATTGCTCGTTCAACATGTACTCTAGCTTTTGCAATTTCAGCTGTCTGCACTGATTCTTCTTTAGAAAATTGTTTTTTCTTTTTTAAGAAGGGAGGTCTTATTAATTTTACCAAGTATTATTCACACTCCTTTTCAATTAAAAATCACTTATCTACCATAATAGCATCGTTAGCAATCGTATAATTTTAAAATAACTTTTTCATTGGTAAATATATGCTTATCGGATGCCCTACCTCCGTAACAAGGACTCAAATATGATATTAACCCCGATGGAGCTATACCTATTAGAGTTTTTATAGTATTACCTTTTTTATAATATGAGTACGTTTTAATTCTATATTGCAATGATTTGCGTTTTTGAACATAGATTTCAGTACAATCGAGGATAACTCGTGTGTTTTTGAATTTATAGAAGCAAATAGGTAAATGTTCTACAATTTCTTCTTTTGTAGGCCAATATATGGCACATTGTAAAGCTAAAGATAGAATTTGTATCATTTTGTAAAAAATCTTTGACTTAAATGTCATTGTCACTTACAGTGTTCAAGGCACACTTTAAAATTAAGTCAAAAATATCCATATTAACACCTGCAAAAGCTACCATTTTTTTGTTTGTATTAATAAATGGTAGAAAATCATATTTTGATTTCTCCTTACAATTTATTAGGGAATTTAGAGTTTGTGTAGATTTGTCAGCAATACAAATTTTTTTTGGACTTGGATCACTTAACACAGACTCTTGTGGATTTGAAACACTACAGCCAGGCTCAGGATCATGTTGACTTGTAGTACTACAGCCAGGGTCTTGATTTAATCTAAAATTTAAAGCAAAATTAAAAAAGTTTAATATTATTTATTTATTATTAAGTATTTATTCATTTTCTTTACTCTCAAAATGTTTAAGTAATAACAAAAGTGCTTGAACTTCAATATTGACATATTGTTAATCAGAGAACAATAGAAACTTATCAAAAGTACATATTATTGTCCTTCATGCTAAAACCATGAATGTGCAAATTATCACATTTTGAGTTAAATAGCAAATTTAATCCAAATGTATATATTTCATTCGATTTTGTGGCAAAATACTGAAAGTGCAGAGTTTTTAGCAAAAAATTTATTTAATTTTGGAGTCACCATTTAAAAATACTATGTTTAATAGAGGTTAACTTAACAAAATGTGTGAGTTAGTATTTATGTTAAGGATATGTACTATTTACTTACATAATAGGATTGTTTAATTCTGAATTAATTCTTTCCCTTGGAGCCTTACGTTTTCTACTAGTAACTTCATGAGACCTTTGAGGCAATTTAGCTGATGGAATTGCATTTTTCTTCAGTCTTCTCAATTTAGTTTCAGGTGTTACTATAAAGTAAATTAAGTATGTATAAATATATTAAAATATAAATAATATTTTAATCAACACTTACTTGGAAAGTAATCGTTCTCAGTAAAATGTAAACGGCAAACATTCATGTAATTAGTTATAGGTTTGCCAATTCGCAAAATGCATTGCCAAACTTTTCTCATATTCTCGTCCTGCGGAAACTTATGCACGGAAATTTTTCTTTGTGAATTGAAATATGATGAACATTGAGGAACACTGCAATAGTTTTTTGAAGTCGAAGTCATTGTTAATAACAATATAAACCGGTCGCAAATATGTATACAAATTAATGACAATTTCAATGTTTTCCCAAAGAGGATGCTTTTAAAATCTACCTCCAGGCGTCGCCCACTTTGCGGTTCCTCTCCAATAGATTTAACACTAACACAGAATGACCAAGAATTGCTCAAACGTTTTGAGCGAAAATTACTAAGACGAATATATGGAGGCATAAAAGAACAAGGTTTGTGGTGCAGGTGTTACAATTTTGAGTTGTATAGAAGTTTTGGAGAACCTGACGTTGTAAAATTCATTAAGGTAGCACGCCTTAGATGGATAGGTCATGTAATCAGACGACAGGAAGATGCCATAGTCAGAAAAGCTTTTAACCAAAGAGGGCCGATCGGACAATGAAGAAGAGGAAGACCGAGATTAGGTACCAAGACAACCTAGAAAATGATTTTAAGTCTATCGGAATTAGAGCATGGAGAAGAGTTGTCAAGAGAAGGTGTTAAAATTAATGGCAGAGTTCTAAATAATGTACGATACGCCGACGACACGGTCCTAATTGCAAAGAGCGCACAGGATCTCCAGACACTCTTAGATCGCGTCAGATCGATCGGAGAACAATACGGCCTCAGCATTAACGTCAAGAAAACAAAAACAATGATTGTCTCCAAAACATCCATCCATCCACCCATGGCTTTAAACGTGAATGGTAACATTATCGAAAATGTCGAGAAATTTCGATATCTAGGGTGCTGGATAACGAAAGATATAGATCCAGACATAGAAATAAAATCGCGAATTGAACAAGCAAGAAATGTCTTTTTAAAAATGAAACAAATGTTTACGTCCCAAACACTCAATCTCAAAATCCGATACCGAATGCTGAAATGTTACGTTTACAGCACCTTACTATATGGAATGGAGGCCTGGACCTTCAAAATCAACTCACTCAGGCGTTTGGAAAGTTTTTAAATGTGGTTATTTCGAAGGATGCTGAAAGTCCCCTGGACAGCGCATATGAGCAACGAGCAGGTCCTACACAAGATGGGTACCGACAGAGAACTCTTAAAAATAATAAAAACACGGAAAACTTCATATTTGGGACACATATACAGAAATGAGAAATACCAGCTACTGCAGCTTCTTATAGAGGGGAAGGTAGAAGGAAAACGTGGTCCTGGTAGACGGCAGGCGTTCTGGTTGAAGAACATTCGTGAGTGGATTGGTTTGGATTCTCAATCTTTAATAAGAAAAGCCAGGGACAGAAATGATTTTGCTGAGGTTATCGCCAACCTTCATTGAAGACGGCACCCAAAGAAGAAGAAGAAGAGTTGTCAGAGACAGGGGCGAATGGAGGATTGTTCTGAAGAAGGCTTTGGCTCATAAAGAGCTGTAACGCCGCTGATGATGATGAAGATTTATCAAAGATTTAAATTTTTTAAATATGGTATATGATTAATGAAAACATCTTTTATCAGATATTTGAGAATGATATATTACCAATGGAGAGTGAAGAATTTCCACAGGTGGAGAGTGAACAAGTGGAGATTGAAGAAATGAAACAGGTTAGTTAATTTGACGTGCTAGAGCTAAATAATGAGTTAAAGACCATATTTGCATAACAGTTTACAAATTTTCATTTAAATATAATTAAGTTTTGTTTGTGTAACACATATTATTATTTTAGTATGTTAATAAAGGGGCAAGCACATCAAAAGGAAAGGACATACCATGCATCTCCACTCCCATTAGGAAAAATTTTAAAAATGTGGAACGCATAATTAGTAAGAAGGTATTTAGGTATAAAAAACAGCACCTTTGGAAATTTTAATTAACAGTATGTGTTCCAAAAGCATTCAGCTAGGGAATGCAAAGGTTTATTCGGTCATTATATTTGGCAAAAAAATAGAAGACAGCTACTTCATTGATTTAATAAAAACGTTTTGCTTTATATTTCTAAGACTTCATCAGTTTGCTTTATATTTCTAAGACTTCATCAGTTTACAAAAAAAGATGACAAAGGCTAAGAAGTAAACCTACCATAGTGTAATACATACTCCCTTTTTGCAGTGAACTGATGAAGCTTTAGAAATATAAAGGGAATCATTAATAGTCATAATTATAATAATTTTTAGTCATCATTGTTTCTACTTCATATAATAGTATTGGTCTAATTATTTTTGTTTATATATTCTCATCTTAGTTTTCATAGTCAGTATTTTAATTAACTTTTATTTTTCCAGATATTCAAAGGTAATTAATTATATAACTTCTGATTACTGCTATGTGCATGTAGTAAATATTAAGTCCTCAAATAAAGTTGAAATTGTAACAGTTGACTGCCAAATCTTTCGTTTTTATTCATATTTTAACTATTATTATAATTTGCAGAATCAAGAATGTGGCAAGTATAGTTCAATTTTCAAGAGAACTAAAAGATAAAGAGCACAAGAAATATATGGAATTTCTAGAAATTGAACATAAGAGGCGCATGAGAATTATGGCAAGTGAGCACAGGATGGTTCAAAAGATCAGAGCCTCAAAATACCTTTGGAATTGAAATAGAATTTTTATTCTTTTTTACAAAGAAATACAAAATGGGTAGCCCATATTTGCATCCTTTCCTCTACCTTTTCCTTTTTTTATTGGATATTCCAACGTGTAGTTGTGTTCCTTGTATTCAGTTTCGGTTAGAATATTTTGCTCTAGTTTTTCCTAGAAAGAAATTAATAATAGGTACTTTATTCTAAATAATTTTAAAGAGAAAAAGTTACCTCTTCACTATCCATCTCGGCAATATCATATATAATATCCTCAAGAGGAGTTTCTGTAGAAGTCAAGCTCTAAAACATATTTGAACAAAAAATTAGTTTTAAAATATCATTTTACAGTAATGACTAATTTTAAGGAAACCCCAATTTTACTAGAATATATGAGGCGCTCCGAGGAAAAAGGGCGAATACGCCAGTTACAGTTTTTTTTTAATGCAATGGATAGCCTGATCATTATTCGAACAATCTACCACCATAACATGGTTTATTCGTCCTTTCTATTCAGAACTATAATAGGTTGACTTAACGGAAGCAAACTGTATGAATCTTGAAAAGTATGGTAAATGTTCCGTGGAACAACGGCGAATACGCCACTGTTACGTCGGTACACAGCTAGCCCTCCCACTTCTGTCTTGCCAAATTTCTGAATAAAATTTCCGTGATTTCCGTCTTATTTTTACCGTTTTAAGCTACAGTGTCGTTTTGCTTGTCAAAACAAGTAGTTTTTATTTTGATTAGTTTGAATAGTTTGAGTTACTTTACTAATAAAGTTAAAATTTTACTGCTACAATGTCAGAAAGCGAGTTTACAGAAGACCAAAACAAAGGCTACACTAGAAAAAGGTCGAAAACTGAAGACACGCGGCAAAAGAATGTGAATAAAGTTAAAAGAAACTCAGGTGAAGAATACAGCACCATTAAAAACAGAAAACTTGTGCCTAAGCGGACTGTGGGAAGTCCCTGTTCCTGTGGATGTTTTGAGAAAGTAGGTTTGGAGAAAATTACATAGTATAATTTTTAAAAACTTTTGGGAATTATCTGAGTATAACCTACAAAACACTTGCTTATCTAAAAGAGTGAAATCTGTTTCTGTCAACCGTTGTCGCATTAAAAATCGACCTAGTCGAAAGTTACGTAGTATTGAGTACAGTGTACTTTTTGAAAGCAATGAATTTAAAGTCTGCAGAAAAGCATTCTATGCGATTCATGGTGTCACTGAAAAGAGGGTTCGAACTGTTTTGAATAAAGTATGCACAAGTGGCACTGTAGAATTGGACAGAAGAGGAAATAAAAATCCAGTTAACAAAGTAAGTGTAGAAATGAAAGAAACTGTAATGTTACATGTAAATAGTTTACCCAAATGTTCAAGCCATTACAGCAGAGCAAAAAGCCCTTACCGAAAGTACCTTTCCACAGACTTAAACATAAACAAGTTGTATGACCTGTACTGTGAGTGGATGACAGAAAATCACCCTTTAATTGAACCTGTCAGCTCACGGTTCTATCGTGACACATTTAATAAAAAATTCAATATTGGTTTCAACCCTCCTAAGTCGGATACTTGTAATTTTTGTGACAAAACAGATATGGAACTTTCAAATTGTGATGATTTACAACGTAACCAATTACAAGTTTCCAAGGAACTTCATTTAAGACGAGCCAAAGCAGTTCAAAAAGTACTTAAAAGTTATAAAAGTAATAATGAAGACTCAGTTTCAGCAGTTTGTATAGATCTGCAGCAAACTCTCCCTACCCCTAAACTGACGAGATCTGTACAGTATTACAAAAGGAAGCTTTGGACCTACAATTTTGCAGTCCATGATGTTAAATCTGGAAAATGTGTTATATACATGTGGAATGAAAGTACTGGAGGTCGTGGTTCATGTGAAATAGCAAGCTGCTTGTCCCATTACTTTGATTCTATGGATCATCAAGTCAAAAAAGTTGTGCTATTTAGTGACAATTGTGGCGGCTAGAACAAAAATATGAACATTGTTTTAGCTTGTTTGAAAAAAATTCATGAATTAAAATTTGATTTCATAGAACATTACTTTATGATTCCTGGACATTCATATTTACCTTGTGACAGGGATTTTGGTCACATTGAGTTAAGGCTTCGAAATATTGATGTTTATTCTGAAGACCACTATATTGACTTAATTCGTTCATCAAGGAAGGTCAGACCATTCAAAGTAGTAAAAATGACATCATCAATGTTTTTTGATTTCACTGCTCTTCAGAAGTTAATTACAAAAAGAAAATCAACTGCTAGTTTTAAAGATGGTAAAGTATTTCTTTACTCCAAGTTGTTCAAACAAGGGTTTTCCATACAACCAACGTACCAAAATGTTTTGTCCGAACAAGTTGTTTTGCAGAAAGGAAAAGTAGGAGAATATCAACGCCATTTGTTTGATTTATCTGCCGCAGTTTTGTCTCCTAAATACCAACAGCCTATAAAACTTTCAGAGGAAAAATAAAAGACATCAAGTCACTTTTTCCATACATACCGCTTCATCATAGGAGTTTCTTTGATGAGCTGATCTCTCTCCAAGAATCACAAACCAATTTGGCAACGCTAACTGGAAAAAGTCAGGATGATGTTATGGATTTTTGCTTGAATTAATAATTTATTGTTTGGTATTTTTTTAGTTTTTGATTTATCTTAAACAGAACACTTTTTAATTAAAAAATGTTTTTCATATCATATCCTTTGAATAAAACTTTTTTCAATATCCTGAATTATAATTTTGGTTTAGATGGGGTGATCTTATTTGCTTAACAAGCAAAACTTTTTATAAAAAAAATAGTTTTTACCTAACCGCATTACAAAATTTTGATGACGTGTATATTCGCCCTTATTGAATTAAAAACACTTTTTCAAATTTTATCGCGTTTTTCTCAAAATGCCCATTTGGCGTATTCGCCGTTTGTCCACGGAGCGCCTCATATAATACAACGAAACATTTAATATAAGGTTTAAAAGCGGCATGGAATGTTTCATCAAATTTTATTTTATTAATATGTATTAAATATACTGGTTCAATTTTGAGCAGCTACTAAACCAGTTCTAAAATCAGTTAATTAAAATTAAATGTCTGTAGTAAGAACAGGCTTCAATTGAATTTGAGTTTTACCATAACAAAATTTGTACCTAGCAGAGCCTTTTATAAAAAGTACTTACTTGTTCTACAAAAGAAAATTCTAATGGGGTTTCTTCAACACCAATCCCATCAGTCTGCATAGTGCTAATCAAACTTAAAACCTCAGTTTCTGTATCACTGAGAGTGCTGGAACATGCTGGACCTCCTTCCATCATATTCCTGTGGCGTTTTATAGCAGCATTTTTTGCTTTTGCATTTTTTTTCATATCTTGCCATGTCTGAAAAAAAAATGATATCAGCAGCTGATTTCTTTTTTCGTACTTGTCACGATTGCATTTTATTATATAAAAAAAACTTACTTTTCTCCATTTTTTCCAATCTTTTGATTGACCATTTGGAACACTATTTAAGTTAATGGTAATTTCTTCCCAAAGTTGTTGGGATTTTTTATATGTGAACGTTGCAGTAAATTGCCTCCTACGCAACTCTTCATGTTGCTCCATGAAACTAATTAATAATTGCTTTTTGTGCCTCACACAACATTTTTTTAATATATAACTAAAATTTAAAAGTTAAAAGTATAGTTTATAACGAGAATTGGCAAGTGATACAACATGAAACATGATACAACTAACCTAACAGCAAAAACTTTGCTTCTTCATTTCGTTTTATCGTGAAAAAGGTTGTGGCTAGGCCTACAGTTGGTACATTTGAACTAAATAATAGGTCAAAGTTATTCATTCGCTTTGGCAACGCAGGGTAAAATGTAGTAGACTCGCTGAATCATAGTGAATGGGGTTTTTTTAGCATCATGTTAGCGATGACCGAGAGAGTACTCACATCGATGAGTTGTCGTGCACGAGCACTCTCACGAGTTGCAGAATACGGACCCAGTAGAGAGTAGACGGGTTACGCTCCGGCACACGATACATACAAGCGAAGATATGACACCGCGCAGATGTGGGCGGGCCTATTAAACGTCAAGAGGTGACGATCTCGTCATTTTGTTTAAGCTATTTACATTTACGTTGTAACGGTTTTAAGCTTTTTACGATTTTTTTACTCTAAAATTATTTTATTATTATTTTGGATTTAAAAATATTGGTGCAAAATGAGGTGTGCTGTAGCAGGTTGTAGTGTGAAAAACTAATCAAAGTATTATACGAACGATATAAAGTTTTTAAGGTTCCCAAAAGACAAAATTGTGAAAAGTGTTTGGCAGCAAAGATGCCGGTGACAAGATAATTTTAATTTAAATACTGCTCGTATTTGTTCGAACCATTTTACCAAAGAGGATTATGTGCGGAATTTAAAACATGAGTTATTAGGATACACACAAAAATATTTTTATAGATCTTTAAAAAAGAAGCTGTTCCCTCAAACAAATTTGCCGCTCTCTTCAATAAAGAAACTAGAAAATAAAGACTTGTTAAGGGAAAAGCGACAAGAAAGAAGACAACAAAAGAAAGTTGTGGGGGAACTTTCACAAGTGTAAGTATTGGGAACTTTGATTGTGTTTGAATTATTTCTGTTATTTAATTTTTTACAGATGTGATACTAACCATACCATCAATTTAAATGAAAGCAACGGGAATGGTACTGATAGCAGTAGCAGTTTAACTATTAGTACAATTTCAGGTGATTGCTTGCCAATAAATTTTCCTTCTACTAGTTTGTCAGAAGATTCATCTAGCAATGGCTATGTATGCTGTTTTGATTGATTACAAATCATCAATAGTAAATCATTTGAATGCATTTAATTTTTCTACCATTTAGTGATTTTGTTTTAGTAAAGCATTAGAGCAATGTAATAATTATTTATTTGTTTTAATATGATTATTAATTTTCTAGTGTAAATACAGACAGGCAGTTAGAGGAAAAAGATCAAACAATTGCTGATCTGAAAAAAAAAGATTTAAATGTTGGAAAAAAGGCAAGAAATTTTAGAGAAAAGACAAGAACTTATCGGAAAGCTTTTCAGCAATGAACAGTATAAAAAATTAGAAGGTATGGGCACTTAACATAACTATAATTACACTGAGTAATTAATTACACTAGCTGTTAACCAATTTTTCTATATTTAAGGTTCAAAAACTCGTCTTGGATGGTCAATAGAAGATATATCCAAGGCAATTGTTATTTATTCGGCTGGTCCATGAGCATATATGCTTCTTTTAAAAATGGAATATCCCTTTCCTGCTGTGCCAAGTCTTCGATCATGGCTTAAAAAAAATGAAAATTGCCACAGGAATATTAAAAAATGTTTCAACTTTATGAAATTGACTTAAAAGCCTGATATGGACAAAGTATGTGTAATGTGTTTTGATGAAATAAAAATTAAAAAGAATTATTTATATGATATGGCAAATGACGAAACTCTCACGGCATACAGTTATGTCCAAGTCATTATGTTAAGAGGATTGTTCAAAGCTTGAAAGCAACCAGTCTTTTATGACTTTGACTGCAAACTTGCCAAGGAAAAAATTTTTGAAGTAATAAACTATGCTGAATCATCAGGTATTATAATTTAGCATTTGTCAGAGTTAGCAGTAAGAATTTTTGAGAAAAACTGAATTGGTTTTTCCTGTATTATTTTTTTTTAATAATTCTGTACAATTTTTGTAGGTTTCCAGTTACTAGCAATGGTAAGTGACCTAGGAAGCAGTAATAGATTACTTTATAATGAACTGAATATTAGTCATACCAAAAAATGGTTTACAAATCCAGCAAATAATAAAAAATATTTGTTTTTGCTGATGTGCCTCATTTAATTAAGTTGATTAGAAACCATTTTGTTGACAAAGGGTTTATACTGAATGGGAAGGAAATGAACAAATCTATAATAGAAGAAGTTATAGATGTAACTAGCTCGTAGGATCTTAAGATAAGCCATAAGATCACTAAAGATAGTCTTAACGTCCAAGGAGCTGCAAGACAAAAAGTGAAATGGGCAACAAAATGGTTTTCTCACACCATTTCTATGGTAATTTCCCGTTGTGGAGCTATGGGAATGCTAAATCATCAGAACTGATTGGAGTGTGCCGAATTTTTTAACATGGTATGATTAAAAAAATATACTAATGTTAAATATTATGTTAATTATGTATTAATGTCTTTCTTTTACTGTAAAACTATTTTCAAACAATAATTTTAATCTTTGAGTTTATTTCCAAGATGTGTAATTTCTTTCAGGTGAACGATTGGTTTGATTTCTTAAACGTGAAATGTTATGCAACTGATACGAGGGAGAGAAAAGCTTATGGGTTAGCATTAAGCACCCAAGATAACATTATTAATTTGATGACAACAAATATTTTAAACTTAAGAGTCAAAGGCAAAACAACATTACTTCCTTTTCAAAAAGGTAATGTAAGGATAATTTATAGTTATTTATATTTTCTTTTAATTTTTCAATTTATTTTAGGCATTATGACTAATACATCACTCCAGCTTCTATTTACTGATCTAAAGCACAGATTTGGCACAAAATATCTGCTTACATACCGATTAAATCAAGACATTATTGAATTTTTTTTTAGTGTAATTAGGGCAAAAGGAGGTCTTCATGATCATCCTAATGCCTTAGAATTTAAATATCGTTTACGATCATACATTCTTGGCAGGAATGAGGGATCTCTTTTAAGTTTCGGAAATGTGGAAGAAGATATTACTCCTGATGTTCCTATGGAAGATGTACATTTATGTGCTAAATATTTTTCTTCTTTTAAAATCGAGGAAAACATTGATGAACATATTAAAACTGATCTTGATTTAAAAGATGTAGAGTATGATGGACTAGAAAATTTGACAGGCTACATTTGCCATAAGCTGAAGTAGCCTGACAATCATTTAAAGTCATCTGATTCAAATGAGTATACTTGTTTGACTCATTTGAGTGAAGGGGGTTTAACAACACCTTCACCTGAATTTATGAATAAAATGGCTGAATTAGAAAAAATATTCAAGTATGAAAACTGCAATGGTTTGCACATTTGTAAAAATTATTTAAAGTTATTGCTTCAAAAGAGTAATTCAGTTGATTGCTCAGATAAAACTAAAATGCTGTTATTTCGATCAAGAATGTATTTTCGTATGAGAGAGTTGAATAGGAACATAACAAATGGTTCTAGCTCAAGAACAAGAAAAAAATTAAAAACTGTTAGGTAGAATGTTTAAAATTATAAAAGTAAATTTTTAGTCATTTTATTTTAGTAGGTTTAAAATAAAATAAATTTTTGGTTAAATTTTTGAAATATAGAATAGTAAATGAAAAAGGCATTCAAAAGTAGGTAAATGATTATTTAACCATTGCTAGAACTTCTCTCTTTGCAGTGTCATTAAGGAAACTTATCAGTACCAGTTTTTGTCCCTTTAGGAGGTGACATCATGTGAGTGTATTCCTTAGGAATAAGCTCACCAAAACATCCACTGTTCTTACCACAATATATATATATATATATATATATATATATATATATATATATATATATATATATATATATATATATTTAATTTTGCTGTTGTGGTCTGTGACATCTGGCTGGTAGATGCTTTCTCTGGGATGAGGCTGGTAGACTACTTTGTCTGTGATTACTCCATCCATTTCCTCCTTATACTCGAAGTATTTCCGCTTGCGGCCTGTCTGGTATTGGTCATCGACAAACTTTTTGTAATTTCTTTCCAAAACCCTCCATCTATTTATGCAATTGTTGGGAATAACATGAACATTATCAGTCTTACTAATAAACATTGCTTAGTCCGAAGTTAAGTTTTATATAAAAATACAAATACTAATTAACAAAATAGTAGAATGCAGTGAAGAACACGGATTATCACTTAACATAAGCAAAACAAAAATAATGCTAATATCTAAATCACCACAAAACTTCCATGACATAACCGTGCATGATCAAAGAATCGAACGTGTAAGAAGATATAATTACCTGGGAACTGTTATCAACGAAAATAATGACTGCTCTGAAGAAATCAGAACCAGAATAGAGAAAGCTAGAGCCACATTTACTAAATTGAAAAAGGTGTTCTGCGGAAGAGATCTAAGTCTAAAACTTAAAATTCGCCTTTTGAGATGTTACGTTATGTCAGTTCTCCTCTACGGGATGGAAACATGGACATTGAAAAAGATCGATACCAAAAAGATAGAAGCATTTGAGTTGTGGATGTATCGTAGAATATTAAAAATACCCTGGACAGAGAAAGTAACAAATGTGGAGGTTTTGCGGAGAGTGCGGAAAGAGAAAGAGCTGATACTTACTGTTAAAAAGCGCAAACTACAATATTTGGGACATGTTATGAGGGGAGATAAATACCAGTTGCTGCAATTGATTATACAGGGAAAGATAATATGAAATAGATCTATAGGAAGAAGAAGGCATTCATGGTTGAAAAACTTGAGAGAATGGTACAATTGCACCAATTACCAACTGTTTAGATCTGCAGCATCAAAAATACGCATAGCTTTGATGATAGCCAAACTTCGGAACGAAGACGGCACTTGAAGAAGAAGAAGAAGTCCGAAGTTAGTCTCGGACTAGTTAGTCCCAGATTAAGCGAGTACTAACTTCATTTTCAGAATGTTATTAATAAACATGGACTAAGCTCAGACTAACTAAACCTTCCTTAGTCCTAGGTACAACAAGTTGTTGGCAAACATTGCGAAAAAGAAGAAAAATGGAGGAGAGAATTTTGTGAAAAAGAAGAAAAATATTTGAGAATTTGACAGGTAGCATAAGTTAGAGCACGTGGAGTTAATTTTAGTTGGACTGTGTTCTGAGAAAGTTTGTTTATATTTTATATTATTCTTTTTACCTGAAAAGTTTAAACTTTTTAACTTAAAATGACCGAACAAAAAGCAACACGTATTCGTTCAATGAATTGGGATGAAGAAGAAAGGGTAAGTAATTTGCTTAAAAGTTTATATTAGAAATTTTGCTACTTTTGATTGTTTTTTTTTGTAATATTCCAGCAATTGTTTCGCAGTATTTTGAGAGACTATTCCCACATCATACAGGAGAAATCTTTAAATGCAAACTCCAATAAATCAAAAACAAAAGCATGGGAGGCAATACATCAAAAGTGAGATATTTTATATATAAAATTTTAATAATTATTAATACCTATATAAACATTTTTGTAAAATGTACACAGAAATTTCATATTATTTATTCAATTTATTTAATTAACAATTCCCCAACTTTGTTTGGGTTCAATGAATTAGAACTTAGACTTGAAGAGGCAACTGCATATGACAGAAAAAGATGGAAATTGGGGGGCGGATACACTACAGTTTTTTCAGCATGCCATTGATAATGAATCTGCAGTCGAACAACAACATGACGAAACAGAAGAATATGAGCTTTTATGCCAACCGCAGGAGGAAATTTCTGCTTTTAACGTTCAATTTTTTTTTCATTTTATTGTAACTAATTTGATGTTGAATGAACATATACTATAAATTTTATGAATTTTAGTTATTGGCATCTTTTACATTTTCCTTTATATTTATATATATATATATATATATATATAATATATATATATATATATATATATATATATATATTTGCAATAATATTTCAATTCATAAATCTAAGGTAGAAACCTAGAAACTGATGGAGTAGCTCAAACTCGCTCATTCGGGAATGAAGCAATACCTACATTCTCCATATCGCTTGGATGCAAAACTCACATTTTTCATTTTTGA